ATGAAAAGTTGAGAGAGTGCGAGAGCATTACTTTCGATGAGAGTGACAGCGAGAGCGACGGCAGGAGTGACGGCAGCGGCGGTGGCAGGAGCGGCGGCAGGAGCGGCAGCAAGATCGGAGGCAAGAGCGGAGGCAGTAATAATGGGATTGGCGGCGGTGGCAACGGAATTAGCGACGGTGGTAGCAGGAGCGGCGGCGGTAGTAAAACTGTAATCTGCTGCCTCCGCCACAGCAATTAACGAATTTTCGAACTCCATGCCGAAATTTATCTCCATCTGTAAATTTGAATAATATTTATTACATATATATAATATATAATAAATATATATAAATAATATTAAAAAATATTAAGAATTATTAAAAATAATAAAAATAATTAAATAATATTAAGAAATATTATCTTACTTCCGTTTGCTGTTCATTTTTTAAATAAACAAATATATCACTATGGTTTCTGTTGTCACTGTCATTTGTACTATCAGTATTACTAATGTTGTACTATGTTCACTATCCGAGGTTTATTCTTTTTTTGTTGCATTGAAAACATTTTTATGGAAGAGTGCAAGAGGATAAGAGTATTTAATGAGATTAAATTAAAAAATCTTTCGACATTTAAATCATACAAGAAATTTATTTTATTTTGAAAAGATATGATATTTAAATTAAAATTGGCACCAATTTTTAATCTAATATATAAAATTACCATACTGTAATGAAATAAACTAACTTTTAATCTCATTAAATAAATCAACCTTACGACAGTGAAACTATATACAAGACATTTATATACGTGTTTATAAAAAAACACTTTAATCAAAAAATAAATAAATTTTTCATTGATACAAAAATGTAATGTCAAAAAATGGCGCCAACTTATAATCCAATAAAAGAAATAATCTTATAAAAGTAGAAAGATAATAATATTAACTTAATTTTATTAAGTTTAATACTTACATTTCCATGTTAGATATCAAAATTAGCACGAATTTAAAGTCAATAATTATAATTTTATATTATAAAAATGATGACGTTCAAAACACCCTCGCGAAAATGACTACAATGTTACATTTGCGTTGCTACGAAATCAGTACAAGATG